TCTCACCGGCCGATACGCTCCCACAGAGCGGGTCTCCTCAGGGTGCCGTCAACCAGACAGTGCCGGTTGGCGACCCCCAGGGGGAGAGCCTTCTCTGTTGGAGCCCCCACCCTCTGGAATGAGCTGCCCCCAGAGATCCGGTTGATTCCGGATCTCCCCTCCTTCCGCCGCGCCCTCAAGACATGGTTGTTTCAGCAGGGAGGACTGGCCTAGGGACATTTTAAATTGGTTTCTAATTAATTTTAAAATAAGAATAGGCCTATTGAATATATCTTTTAATTGATTTTAAATTTTGTAGATTTGTATCGATTGTTCTGTTTTTAATTGGCTGTAAGCCGCCCTGAGTCCACTAGGAGAAGGGCGGGATATAAATGCAATAAACTTGAAACTTGAAACTTGTCCAGCTTCAGTCCATTGTGCCAGTTATGACCATTCCTGGAGAAATAAGCCTTTCTGATAGAACTCACATTATTGGTCCCTTCTACACAGATTACTGCAATGTGCTCTAGATGGGGCAGCCTTTAAAGACTGCTGAGACGCTGCAGATGGTGCTGAGTGCTGCAGTCTACCTTTTGGCAAGCAAGAGCCATTGCATATCAGACATAACACTAAACAGGGCTCAATATAAAATCTGATATTTTTTGATCTATAAAGTCTTATATGGTTTTGAATCCAGGTAGCCATAGAACCATTTGCTTTAAACTCAGTGTCTGCCAGTATACCAGGTACGTGTACCGAACGTTTCTTCTCATATGAAATTCAGAGAAGAAGAAGAAATCTGTTCTTTTCTGTTATGACACTAACTTTCTGGAATATTCCCCTCCTAGAAATCCTGATGGCACCCCCTGCTATTCTGACTTTCAAAAAAGCTGCTGAAACTAAACTGTCCTTCGTCATCCAGAAAATGTAGCAATTACTATGATTAGAAGGTTCATAATTTAATAGTAACGTTATAGTATACTAATGAATCATTTTGATTGTTTTGGGTAAGTGGTATTGTTTTTAAGGCTAAATCAACTCATTTAGCAATGAGGTAGCATAAAATATAATTAATTAATTAATCTCCATATTGGTGATACTCAACTCCAGAACCTATAATAACCAACTCCAGTAGTTTTATATAAAGGGACAAAATGTGCTTTGTACAACAGAGCTGCCAGGGTATATACCCTGCCAGGGTACAAAATAGTATTTATTAAGATTATCCCTTCAAGTAAGAGAGTGACCATTGTATAGCAAGACTCTAGTTGCCAATTGGAAATAGTGGTCAAATACTGATGAAATGAAGCAGGATCAACAGTCACACTCTCTCTGTTTCTTTTCTGTAAGAAGTCACCAGTTTGGGCAACTATGGTTGATTCTGTCCTAACCAGACTTCAGCGCAGGCTGAAATAGGTTCAGATAATCAATGTACTTACAGACATTTTGATTGGAATGTAATTGTGTAGAACAATCTGCTGTGCAACAGCTTCTCAACATCAGAGGTTGTGAGGAATGTAAACACAAGACTACCATTATTAAAATTATGTTTTAAGAAGTTGGTGTCTAGCTCAGGGCAGTTCTCCCGTAACAAACAAGACAAATATCAAAAGTATCATATATACACTACAGTTCCCAGTGTAAGGACCAAGGTGATAAATAATGTAATGTGCTTGACAATGTAGCATCAGTATTGTATGACAATAAAATTAAACAGACAGTAATTAAATTTATTCCTCAGAAAGTATGTATGCTCTGCTAAAATCATAGTTTTAACTTAATCCCAAACTGACTTCCTCACCTTTCCCATAGCGTGGTTATGCCTGAAGCACTTTAAAAATGCTTGCAAGTTTCAATTTCACACATATAGTGATTTTCAACTTGAAATAATTCAGATTTGAAACATTTTGCATCCCTGCTCTTTTTTTGCAATAATTTAATGAGTTTTTATGTTAGTTTAAGGAGGACTGCCTATGGTAATATATTTAAGTTTATCATATCTTTGCTAGAAAACAAATAGTTGAATTTTCCCCTTCTCTCTCTGTCGTTTTCTCTTCTCACCTATGAATAACCTTTCTTCTTCTTTTTTATCAACTGAATGAGTACAGTAAAGAGGGGTGGCCACTACTCCAGTACATGCTCTTCAGCAAAATCCCCAGGTGAGCCATTCATGCTATGGCTTCATTTCACCACCTTGTCTCCTACATTTTTATTTTACTTTTTCTGTCCGTTGATCTATTCCTTTATCTTTACATTAAACATCTCTATGATTAGCAAAACAAAGACTTAATGGGCTTATTCCCCTTTTCCGTAAGACCTTGGAAAATAGTACATATATGTTAACATTATATTGTATTAGATAATTGATTTATTAAGATATCATTTAAGTAGATAATTACTATTAAAGATGTGTTAACCGAACTCATATAGCTAAATTTGTGGTTGGAGGCATACAGTTACAACAACAAAAATGAGGAAATAAATAAATAATGAAATAAAGCATATTTTATAATCTGCTTATGTAGAAAAGTATGTCAGAAATAAAAGTCCTATTAATTTGTGTCAGATTTATTTATCTATCAGTTGATAGATAACAGTAGTGGCTTCTAAGGACTTGATGAATGCAGCTGAATTAACTGTTTTGCTTACAGTATACAGTATAGGTTTATAAATAGAGTTTTGTAAATACAATATACAGTATAGATTTGTAAATAGACTTGTGAAAGATGCTAGTCCATAAAAGTATTTATTAGCCTTGTGAAAAGTTAATAGTCTGATTTTCATTTTAATATCAACTACAGAAAAGGAAAGTTTTCCTTCCTTTCTGTGTAGGATAAAGCATTATGACCACTTTCTTCTTCACTTACATGGCATTGCTTTATTTATTACTTCATTTCTATTAACTTGAAGAGTTGTTAAACATGAACTTGGTATTCTGAAACTGTTTCCAGTTTCTGGTTTCTGCCATTGAGTGATATGATTCAAAGTTTTGAAATATTTTGAAATATTGTAGGTAAGTAACTTTCAGAATAATATGAAAACTCTACACTTAAAATAAGAAGGAAAAATATTCATCATGCATTAGTGTCTTTTGGAGGGGGTTGTTTTGGTATCTGGAGATCCCCTTTTCCCTCTTGTCTTCCATTGCAATATGGCTTTTATTTTATGTGGATTAATCATTCACACCTCTGCGAAGCCAATTATAAAGATGCCTTTCAGAAGATTTTCCTTTTGTCAATTTATATTTTGTGCTGTTTGGAGTGATGCTGTTGAATTCGGTTAGTTGGCTCTGTTCCAGACTCCTAAAACTGACTGATTTTAGTTAAAAATTCAGTTCTGGCTCTTTATAAATGCAAGGAGAGTAAACTACTTGTTATTTTATTTTGTATACCCAATAGATACAAAAAACTTGTATATTCTGCAACTTGTTTGATAAAGATAGAGGCACAAGAGGAAGATATAGACACTTGCAAATGTGGTCTAAAAATAAAATGAATTTTCTAATTGTGGGTAGACTGTAGCTCTCCAAATTCCCAGTTACCTTCTCACATTCTGTGTGTTGTGTGCAGATCTGAAAAATGCCAAGGTCGAGAAACCTGTTCTTAATCACTGTGAAATGTAATGCTGATAGTTCAGAGAAAAAAGCCTAGTTTCTCTGCATGCATGTTGGCTGTAAATATTAAAGACTTTTATTTGTCTATTTATTTATTTATTTATTTATTTATTTATTTTATTTATTTATTTTATTTATTTATTTATTTATTTATTTATTTATTTATTTATTTATTTATTTATTTTAGATCTCGTTTGGCATATTCATCTTTGCAGACATTCACATAGCATAGCACTTGTTAAATGAATGTTCTGTTGCCAATTATAGATATTCTTTACAGAGCTCAAATGTGTAAGTTGTTACAAGGATTTCCATGGAAACTAAATACCTAGTTGACAGACTCATTAAAAAAAGCAACAGAACTATTGTTGAAAACAGTATGGCTCCAAAAGCATTTTCTTCTTTCTGGGAAATCATGAAAACACTAAAGCATAAATTATATCGTTGAGAGCATGGTTGCTATGTTCAGACACCTTATAAATAAACTATTGTTGGTAGATGTTAAGAGTGTGATGAAGCATTATAAAAAAGCTTAGGAAATCCAGTTAATAAAGGATATATTATTTCTGCATTTGTTTTATTTACAAGTATGTATGCCATCCACACCCGGATAGATTTGTTTTACTTTTTAAAATGTGTTTTTATGTTTTTAAGCCAATAACAAGAAAAAAGAAAAGCAATACGTAAAGATAATTATAATGCAAAGACATACATTTTCAAAGAAGGGCATTAAGAAAGTGAAAAATAGAATGAAAAAAATAAAAATGTAGCAATGAGCAGTTACAATTCTCTCTATATATTTATCTGATGTAAATAATATTCAAGTACATACATGTTAATTTCTAATAGTAATATAACCTTAACTATCTATTTAATCTACTGTCATTTGTGTAAATTAATTAATTTATTTATTTATTTATTGTTTATATTTATATCCCGCCCTTCTCCTTGCGGACTCAGGGCGGCTAACAACCAGATAAAAATGCAAATCCCAAAACTACAGATTAAAACATAATTAAAAACAAATATTACTAATTGGTCTAATTAATTTAAAATTACTTTAAAACCCCCATTAAAAACTTTCCCCTAGGCCAGTCCTGC